CAGTCTTTGCTGAATGCAGGATAGCCCGGATTCCATGGTGCTCAACAGAACAGTCACAAGAGGTCCGTGTGGTCTCCTTTATTTTTGTTGTTGCAAATCTCTCTACTGCTGCACGCTCCAGGGGTATGCAAAGCCTGAAGTCTTACACAGACAGACAAGCACACTTTGTTTCTCTGATATGTGCACAGCCTCCTGATTGCTTGCTGGGATTTTCACAACTATGTGCACAGCAATCGTCGTATGAGAAGGCCTCTACAAACAGTCAAGGAAGAGAGGTCTAATACTGGATATTAGACATCACTCAGGATGGCTCTATGGAACCCTCAAAGTCAGAGGAAGCCTACCCTCCGAATACCAAATATTGTGGGGCAACCACCAGGGAAGACACTCCCCCCCCTTGCTTGTGAGCTTTCTGGCTGGTCTGAAGGACTTCCTTGTGGTACATGGACATGTTCCAGCCAACATGTCCTGAACTGTATCCATGTTGCTCTGAGAATTCAGACACTTCTCCTCCTTCTCAATAAACTTTCTCTGTGCTCAGGTGCCATCACATTCCTCATGCAAAAGGTACCAAAGAGGCTCCTGACATGCTTTGAACTCCCCCAAGGCGAGGCATCCTTGAGGGGCAAGCTGCACAGCCAGCAACAGCAGGCGCTAATTAGCCCAGATGTTCGATTGACTTGTTTTGTGTGTGTGTGTGGCTTTTCTTTTTTTTCCCTGGGTGTCTCATTTGCAGGATGTTCAATCACCTTCCCCTCTCTCTGATTCTGCAGTTGTGTGTGTTTCTATGTGACTGTCGGGTCTCAACACCTGTCAAACAGTGCCACAGTAAATTGGACGTGTCAGCCCCAAGGTGCTGGTGCCAAGGTGCGAATTAGACACAGTCTCTTGCAGCTGTTCTTCTGACCTCCTACTCTATTAGCGGGACATCTGTAGATGTCCAATCAAGGAAGCACCGGACCTGCAGCCTGTTCCCATTGATGCCACGGAAGCAGGAGAGGGCGGGGGGCAAGGAGGCAGATTGCAAGGGGAGGCCGGGTGGCAAACACAGGCCAAGTGTCTCGAGGCACCTTCGTGGCTCGCCTTGAATTTCTGGAAAGCATCCTGGATGAGGGGGCTGTTCTGGGCTGGGCTGTAAGCCTTTTTGTGCAGCCCTAAGACAAGACCAAGTGTATGTGTGTGCAGAGGGAGCAGGGGCGGGGAGGCCTGAACTTCTTTCTGGCCCTCAGAAGAGCAGTTTGATGGTTTTTCACCATTAAAAGGAATGACCTGCTCTGTAAGCCAGGCACATCCACTCTGGATCTTTCTCCCTTTTCCAATTAGCTGTTTTTGAAAAACTGGGTGCCAAGACTGATTGCCCTTGAGTGACACCCAGCAAAGGCACCCTTGACTCTCAGCCAAATGCCCACCTGAGCCTTGGGACCTAGTGAATGTTGGGAGCTGCCCCACACCGAGTCAGACCACCACTCCAGCTAGCTCAGACTTCTCCACACCTGGAGGGGTAGGGTGCCTTTTTCATCTTGGGGGCCACGTTCCCTTATGGGTCACAGTCCATGGACCAATGGCCAGGTGCAAAAGTAGGCAGAGCAATGGACATGTCGTACTATTTATTTATTTCATAAAGTTTACACACCACTTGATTGTAAAAAACCCCTCAAAGTGGTTTACGAAAGATAAAATGGTAAAATCAAAACAAACTTACAACCCTACTATAAAACATACATCGGTTTATATATTAAAACAGATTAAAATTACCTTAACTTTCTAAGCATCTGGGTAGGCTTGTCTAATCAGGAATGCTTTTAGCAGGTGCCAAAAAGGGTACAGTGAAGGTGCTTGCTTGATCTCAATAGGCAGGGAGTTCCAAAGCGTAGGCACTGCCATACTAAATGATTGGGTTCTTACAAATGTGGAATGGGAATTATGTGACACCTTCAGTAGTGCCAAGTCTGGTCGAGTGGGCACATGTAGGGTGCCGCGATCTCATAGGCAAACTGGTCCCAAGACATGACTCTTGTCTTTGTACAATGGACGCTATTCCAGCTACACCAAGGCTTCTACACTCACCTCCCCATCCAGGCAATATGCAGGAGGCAGCATTGCAGTCCAAGGACACAACTGAAGCCAGGCAAAAGTACTCAAGGAGGGTGTGGAGGAGGGCAGGGGTGTGGCCTGGAGAATGGGGCATGGCCTGAGGAGAATCCCACTTCTGCTGCCCAGAGGTGCTCTTTGGGGTTGAGGTCCAGAGCTTTTTGATGCAAGGCATGTGTTCTGCCACTGAGCTAAAGCCTCCCCTTCTCTGCAAGAGTTTCCATCGGCTCTAGAGGAACCTCTGCCTTGGCCAGAAAGGGGTTGGGGTCACCTTTCCATGTACCTGCCTCATGGTTGCAGTGGGGAAAAGATCCTTCAGCTAAAGTAAAGGTCTGTTGGGAAGGGCCGCCCAAGCCCTCCCTTCTCTCTGTGCTGATTAAAGCCGAGCAGAGCCTGTGGCTCCCTCTCTACAGCTCTTTCTGATCTCACGTAAGAAGTTACAATAGTTTAAAGTCTTATCTGATCTACCAAACCCAACAGTGCCTTTTTTTGTTTTTTGTTTAAAGTCGGCAACAGTCTTAAAACTAACACACCAAAACATAGAAGTAGTTTTTCATGTTGAAAGTAAGACATTTCCCTCTTACGGGTGACATGTTCATTGCTAATTACACAATTAGTTTATTATGCAGCACTTAGCGAAAATAACAGATTTTGAAGTGTGAAGAAATGTCTACCAAATAATAGAATCATTTTGATACCATGAATAAATGTGGCCACTGTTTTCCTTTAAGCTGGAATTTGCTGAATGGAACTGAAGCCAAAAGCATTTTCAGAGTCCAAGGGAAGTTGCTGGGTCAGTGGAAATACAGGAGCAAAATGGAGGGAGTAAAAGTTTCTCTTTGGTTTTTCACAACTAGGGATGGGTGAAACTGACTATGTCTCTATTTCTCATTTTAGGTTCATAGTTCCATATCAGTGTGGATTAAAAAATAATAATCACTGGCATTTTTGTGTGCAAGTCTTCTAATATACACATTTTTTGAAAAGCAATTTCCCCTAATATAAATCATTTTGGTGTGTTATCTTCCTCAGTCTATGCATTTATGCATACCTGACTCTAATATATGCATTTTTGGCTGGAGAAATACATTACATTTTTTGACAAATGTGAATTTACAAGGATAGTTATGTCTAAATTCACAACTAATTGTAGAAATAGCAAATTAGGTAAGTTTGCCTTTAAATGCAAACAAATTGCTGTGGGAATGGACACACAGTCACACTTCAACAATGCACACAATCTCTGAATACAAGGATGTATATGAAGAGGACTGATTACAATCTTGCTCCTTTAAGAAAAGGAAAAATGTATTATTCCTGAAAGCTTATTTCTGTAATAAAAAGTTATTTTCCACCCAAAAGCAAACCATTGCTAGCTAAAGAAAGGGCTGGGGATGAGGGTTGACATGCTTGGCATGCTCAGTGTTTCCTCAATTGCTAAGCTGGTAGAAGGAGAGAAGCCTCGGTTTCGGGATGATGATGAGAATCCACGTTATACAACCACACACATACAACACACATGGGAGGACTTTGTCAGAAAACATCATACATGACAAAATGGCCCCCACATTAAAACATATTTAATGTTTGATGTTTTATTGTCTTTTTATATTTCACTGGAAGCCCCAGTCAGATTAGCGGCATATATTATTATTATTATTATTATTATTATTATTATTATTTGCAGAACCACATGGCCAAAAGAAGGGGGGTGTCTGCCAGGCTCTCTTTGCAGAGCAACCTGGACCTCTGTGCAAATTATTGTCCCTTCAGCCAGCTAGTGAGAAGGCTGGATGCAGGCAAGGCTGCCTGGAGTGGGAAGAGAAGGAAGTAATTCTGCCCAAGGGGCTTAGGCATTCTTCAGGGATATTGTTAGTTTTAATTGTGCTGAGTTCACTCACCTTTGCGACATAAAACATTTTTATTTATGTCGTGCTTTAGCTGAGCCCAGCGCTTTGCAGACCTTCCCCTACCCTCAGTCTCTGGCATTTCTATTCCCGGGAAGTTATAGCTCTAATCTTGGGCTGGCCAAAGGCCAGAGGGGCACCACATAGGGAGGCAGGAGGAGCCTGGGAACGGTCACTGTAGCTAATGCCCACCTTTAAAATATTCCCTGGAAATCTGGGGGGAGAAGCAGAAAAGGTTTCGAAGCAATGGATCATAATACATAGATATAGGATAGGGGAGTGTGCAGGGGGAAAGAAAGATGAGGGAGAGCCTCACAGTCAGGCCAGGATAACAGGATGGGGGGAGCCTTTGCACATGAGGAACCTAAAAGGGGGTTGTGCTGGCGAATAACCACAGAGGCAGAGGCAGAAGTGCGGCTGGTTTGCCTGCACTGGGTGCCAAGCTGGGAGGGTTCTGCTGGAGGCACTGCAACCAGGGCTTTTTTTAAGCTGGAACTCACTGGAATTCAGTTCCAGCGCCTCACAGGTGGGTTCTGGCACCTCTCTGGTAGGCACCATTGCCATTCTAAAAGAATGAGGGAGGTGTTCATGGTATTTTCTAGAAAAATAGCACTGACTGTAACAATGACAAACAACAGACGGCGAGAGGCAGGGGTGCACTGAATTTTGGCATCGCACAGGATGCCACTGAAATTGTAAAATCCAAATCTGCCACTGCCAGAAAGGACTCTGGCAACCCCCTGCTGGGTATCACCAGGGTGGCCCCTCTGTGCCTGGGGCTGCATAAACACAGTACAGTTAAAGCACATCCGCCAAAGGAATTCTGGGAACTATAGTTTAGCCCTTACAGAGCTACAATACCACCTAGCAGTCTTAACAAACTGAAGTTCCTATAATCCTTGCCGGAGGGACGAGTGTACCCAGGCTTGGCCCAGCATGGGATTCACGATTATCTCTTTATTTAAAAGGCAGATTTCCATGAGGCATAACAGGGCAGAGTTGGCTCACTTCGGCAGCACATGCACTAAAATCAGAAGGATACAGAGACCACAGCCCCTGCACAAGGAAGGCATGCAAACTCATTAAATGTTCCTTTAGGGTGGGGGTAATGTAAAAATGTAAAATGGATCTCTCTCTCTCTCTCTCTCTCTCTCTCTCTCTCACACACACACACACACACACCATAATGGACACCCCTTTTGGAGACCCCCATATGGTCAGCTGTGGTCCTTTCCTCATAGAATTGCTGTTGTTGTTTGCCATAGATGACTCCACTATCTTCACAACTACCCTGAGGCAGGGTAAGAAAGTTACCCAGCATAAGTCCACCCAAGGTGCTTGCAGCTACGCTGGTAGCTCAGCCTGATTCCTCTTCCATTGTGCATTGCAGTGGCCCTCTGGAGCAGGCCCCCTTCCTGATCCCATAGTCTCTAGAGGCTTTTTTGCATCTGGCCAGACCTGGAGTGGGGGCAGAGGAGAAAGAACGGGATTCTAGTGCACATCCCAGGGAAAGTTGGCCTTGAAAGAGAGCCCTAAAGGAGTCCTGTAGCTGCCTTAGAGACAATTCCAAGCAGCTTCAAAATACTTCTGTAACTCAAAAGGTAACAAAGGTATTCGGTGAGAACAGTGGAAAATCCATTATTTCTGATTTTCAAGCAGCTCACATTTCTTGTCCTTTAAATGCACCACCTCCCCCATTTCTCCCCCATAGCAGTAATTCAGACCTATGGGTAGGGGGAGAAGAAACCTCATTAAGAAGCTCCCCCAAAAGGGGGCTCAATGAGGTCTCATTTCATCATAATGAGCTCCAATTGAACACGATCATTATTTCTGACATTAAAGTCCTCTGAATCATGTCACACGCCTGGGGGCTATTTTCTTCCTTGCCCTCTAATGCTAGAAATAACAAGCCACCGTTAAGGGACAGGGAATCTGTGGCAATAAAATTCCATCAAAATGGGAATTTTACTCCTGGCAGACTGGCTGCGATCCAGTCAAAGTTTGCTGAGGCAGGTGGTCTGTCCTCGCTTTGTGTGGTTGGTCCCTGTCCCTCCCTCCCAACCTGTGAGGCGGCTGGTGTGATAATCTACACACACACACACACACACACACACACACACGGAAAAACAAGGCTTCATTACCTTCCCATTGCCAACATAGTGGTGATTAAGTAAGCTTACAACAGATTTGATTTGTTGTAAGCCAATTAGCTCCCTTGTTGTTAACCAATTAATCGGATGTCCAGAGTAAACATTAAGCATCCGCTTCGACTGTCCCTGGAAAATCTCTGTGCCTCCTTTGTCCCTTGGAGAAATTCAGGGTTTGCCTTGTTAAAATGCCTGCCAATGTCTCCTTCCTTAGGTTTCATCCCCCCCCCCACTTTCTCTGGCTCTCTGGCAGGGGTGGGAGTCATCTGGCCGGATTCATCTCTTGACTAGAGTGCACAGGTATGTAAAGGCAGGTCCCAAATGCTGGCAAGTGGTTCCCTTTCTCTCTCTCTCTCTCTCCCCCTCCCACAATAACTGCCTATTCAGATAGCAAATGTAGCTAAACATGTTTGAGTTACAGAGTAAATGAACAGCAGAACATCAATAGATCTGCTTAGATAAGGGATTCTCAAACTGTGTTATAGTGAGCCTCATTCCCCAGAGATGCTCTTGCTAAAACAGGCTGCAGAGCAAGAAGAACCTCAGAGACGTTGCTCACGAGAGTGCAGGGATTTGGTGCTACATAAGCCAGTGTTGTGGCACCATAGGTGGGTTCTGCTCTCCCATTTGGACCCACAGAGATGAGCAGGGGATCAACACATTCCCTGCATATTAGAGCAGGGGTAGCCAATGTGCTGCCCTCCAGATGTTGTGGAACTGCCTCTGCATAGAAGTCAAGTATCAATACAGAGTCCACACCTGAACCCAAGAACTATGGCCCTTCTTTATACCATCAGTGACAGCCATCCTCCTCGCCAGTCCCTCACTTGCTCCCATCTGGAAAATATTACATTTTAAGTCATTTGGCTAAAATACTGGAAAGAACCAAAAATCTGTTGGATTATTATATCTTTGCATACTACTCTTCTTTCTTCAAGGGTCCACACACACAACCCTGTGAGGTAGGTTAGGCTGGGAGAGAGTGGCTGTCCTCCAGGGGTGCATAATGGGAGAATGATCATTTGGCCTGCATTCACGCTATACATTAAAAGCACATGCCTGCCCCCCAAATCCTGGGATCTATTGTTTGTTAAGATTGCTGGGAATTGTAGCTCCATGAGGAGTAAACTGCAATTCCCAGGGTTCTTTGGAGGAATTCATGTGCTTAAAATGTATGGAATGTACACAGTCTCAGAGGCACTCAGGCTCCTCGTCACCCTAAGCCCAGTCCTCTAGCCAGCCACTATTCTACACTGGCTCCCCAGGATGGTGGGTGCAATGCATTCATTCTGTGTTCATCAACATCTCAGATCATACAAAAAAATGCAGCCGTGGTGCCATCTCAGACCTCCTATGAGAACCTGTCCAACTACTCCAGGCCCCAATTCTGCAGAGGTCCAGTCAGGTCCATGTAATTAATTTTATAATGAATGATTTTAGAGTGTTGTTGTGCTGTACTTTTGTACTGTTTTATTGTTGTTAGCCGCCCTGAGCCCGGCTTCGGCTGGGGAGGGCGGGATATAAATAAAATTTTTTATTATTATTATTATTATTATTATTATTATTCCCAGAATATGGCTGAGGCGAGTTCAGCATTTTGGCAAAACAGAGTGGGAAGCATCTCTGCTTATTAGATGGAGTCTACCCCATCACTGTCTCTCCCCCACCGTCCTCCGCCTTGCCTGCTATCTAACCTCTTCCGAATTATGTCAGCCGCTTTGATTTCATTGACTCCGAAATGCATTTTCATAAAGGTGCAAATGGGTTGATTAGTTTATTCAGGGGTATTGACAAGCTGTAACGTGCTGGAGCAGCGAGTCCATCTCCTGCCACGCTTGAGGAGGCAGTGGCTACCCCACTGCAGTGACATAAGCAGGAATCAAAAGTGCCCACCTCCCACCATGACTGAGTGAGGACACATTCATTGCTCTGACTTTTGTAGGATTCTGCTCTCTGGATGTGGCCACCAATAAGTGAGCTATCGATGGTGTGGGGGAAGGAGGAGTGGGAAGGAGGAGCCCTGGGATCAGTCAGAGGAGAAGGAGCAGGAGAAGTTTAGCTGGGCCCCCTCTCACTTGCCCATTCCATCACCAGAAGCCAGCCAACCAATCCGGGATGCATGTAGGATTTTAGGTCTCAGCACCAGGTCAGAAATTCCTCATGACCGGATCTTATCTTGAGATTGCACTGTCCCTCATCCATGGGAAATGGTGGGCAGCTCCCTGAGGCCCACAGCCTTGGCAAAAGTTACAGGTTAGAAGGGAGCTAGGGGAGAAGCAAGTGGGGTGCTCCTACTGCATCAGAATCGGGGGGGGGTGCCCTTGACTTGGCTTTGACCTGGAAACCTCAGCAGGTGAGTCTACTCCTGGCAGGGTGGCAGTGAAAGTTTATGGCCCAGCAGGGGACAAGGGGGGCACCTGATTTCACCACTCATCAGCTGGAGTGTGGAACCACCTGTTTGCCATGCCACATTCTGGGCACAACCCAGAAAAGGAGCCCCCACCCACCCACCTACCCAGAACCACAACCTTGCCTCATTCTGCGCCAGGGGCAGGAAGCGCAGCCTGACAAGTGCCCTCGAAAATCACAGCTCCATTTGCATATGCAAAACAACTTGTGACTGATTCCCTCCAGGGATGCTAAGTGGCATCCATATGGCAGCAGGCGACTCCTGCCACATTCGGTATTAATCTCCCTCGTTTAGAGAGTGTTTTGTGATCATTATCTCATTAATCCCCCACAACATCCCTGCCAGGCAAGTAGGTCAGCTCCCTCCTGCCCACTTTACATGGGGCGGTGGGGAGGAGGGAAGGAGGCAGAAGCCGCCGTGAGGGAACAATGACTCATGCCAGGGAAATCAGCCCACGGATGAATGAGCTGGACTTGGATTCCAGGCCTCTGCTCTGCTGAGGCCCATTTGCAGTGGCTCTTGCCTTGGAGCAGACTGAAGATGGGCCAACAGCACAGGGCAGGCAGATGGGGTGCCCTTCCAGATTGTGCTCAGGAAGAGTCTCTGCTTCTGGGCACCCTTCATCAGACTCCTCTGCTTGCCACCTGTGTGAGGGGGAGCACCTGTCCACCTCTTGCATGCTTCCACCCTTTGCTTTCCACACGTGCGTTCCCTGTGCAAGTCCTCAGGAAACGGGCTATGTGTGTGCGTGTGCATGTGATTGATTGATTATGGGGGCATGCCAAGTGCTGAATGAGCCTTTCCAGAGAAAGGGGCCAATTGCTATCTTTCCCTCTAATTGGTGTGTTTGTGTGGAGTGAGCAGGCAGCTCAGGCAGAAGAGGCTGCAGACAGGAGGGGGTGGGCTGCAGTTCTGCTGCCTGAGTTGGAGTTGGAAAGAAATGGTTAGTAACTCAGGCTGGTCCCTCAGGGGTTCATTAAGTGACTGGTCATCCACTATATCCTGTCACTTCTGACCTGGAAACATAAACACGAAGGAGGCCAGCTTTGCAATATGCATGTGCCTCTCCTCCCTCTGCTCGGCCCACAGTGTGGCTCCTAACAATGGGTGCACAGCATCAAAACCACATGCAAGGAATCATGGGTGGTGCTCTCCTGGCTCCCAGAGTTATTGCTGCACACCCTTCTCTGAGAACAGCCTCTTTGCTTTTCCACTAAAGGTGCCAGGGTGAAGAGGCAGGGAGCAGGTGGAAGAGGGAAAGAAGCAAAGGCCACAGAGATGCTCTTCCAGAAGTCTGTGGCATCAACCAAGAGGGTCTCCCCCAGGGGGCCCTAAGGGCCCGAGTCTGCCGTATGGGGCTGCCCCCCTGACACACACAGCTTGAACCAGAGATGCTGTCCAAAGGACATCTCCAATAGGCACTTGCTGAACATAATCCCTGTGCTAGAGCATTTGCTAATCCCAGTGGGAAATTTGAGTTCTTCATCCCACCTGCAGATTACACAGGATGGGAACCCCTTCTGAAATTACACTTGTGCTTGCTTGTGTTTCGTGCCCATGACTGGCTGATCCTGAACACAGCAGCAGCAACACAGCACGGCTGACCATGCTCTTGGGCTCAGTTTCAGCTACACTCGCTTGGGACTCCCTGTTTGGTCTGTTAAAAGCAGCAACAGGTTGAGAGGGATTATTTGTCATCTTCCTCCACCCCCACCCCACTCTGCCCCACCCCGTCGCCACTCCCAGAGTTAAACGGTGCCTCTTCCCTTTCCGCCTCAGCTCTCTAGATCTTTTGTCAAGCACCTTAGAGCTAAGTTGCTCTGTGTTCCAGCCCTCTGGAAGTTCATTTTGCTGCTTCTAGATCCAGCAGGCCTGATCTGGCCAGATCAGAGTTTTCCAAACTGTGTGCCATGACACGTTAGTGTTAGCTGCGGTATGTAGGTGTGTCGCGCAAACACTCCCCGCACTCCTCTCGGAGCTGGAAAGGGGTTAGTTTAACCTCCAAGTTTGCTAGTAAAACTGAATTGCTGTGTCGCAAAATGATGCATGTCTAAAAAGTGTGTCACCAACATGAAAAGTTTGGAAAGCTCTGGGCCAGATACAGGTAGCTGTTTTTTGGGTGTGCAGTGGGGCTCTTGATGCAGCTGCCCTGCAGGAATCCTATCCCCCACCCCTATTGCTCAGATATTTGCGGACATCCCTCTGGTTGGCATCCCTTCGATATTTATAGACAGTTACCTTGCCCTCCCTGCAGTTGTCTCTCTGCCAAGCTATGCGTATTTAGCTCCTTTAATCTTTTCTCATAAATCAATCTCTTCGGCCTCTTAATCCCCTTTGTTGCTGTCCTCTAATCTCCCTCTTTGTTTATCAATATCTCTCTGGGACTGAGGGGACCACATCTCAACTCAGGAGGAGACTTGGAAAGCATGGCTCCTGCACAGGGGCTCTGCCCTTTGCCCAGGAACCTAGTGAGGAAGCCTTGACATGAGCTGCTCCATGCTGCACTGCCCCATCCCTCCCCGTGGGAAATCTGGATTGGCTATCTCACCTAAGAGGGAGCTCTGTCTGGAGCCACAGAAGGCAGAGGGTCTCCCCTCTGATCTCTTTAGGACCACTGGCTCCTCCGGCCTTTGACCTTAGGATCCATCATCCAGTTGTCACCAGAGCTAACTGGCACAAACTGTGCATACCCCATTTTACAGCAGGTCTTGTAACAAAGAGAAAACAACCCAAGAGTGTGGCCCTCTTGATGAGCAAAACATATTTTCAGTCCATGCTCAGATAAGTGATTTCTTACCCAATAATATTGCCAGCCTTCTCCTTACTCAAGAACTGCTTTAAAAAGGAGAGAGAGAGAGAGAGAGAGAGAGAGAGAGAGAGAGAGAAGAGATGGGTTAAGCTGCCTTTAATCTTTAATTCATGCCCACAGATGCTCTGCAGCACATGCAGCAGCGGAATGGGAACGGCACTCCCAAGTTGGCGGGTTGTAGAGACTCTTGCCAGACCTTCCCTTTCAAAGCCGCACAGCCTGGGGAATGGTACAAATGGCCTTCCATTGCCCTCTTCATTGCTCTTTGTGGCAAAAAAATTGCATTGCTTTTATCCAGCCCCGCACTGTCAGCCCCAGAGGCTTTGAGAAAACAAAAAACAGCTGAGTAAAATGCCCCCTTCTCTCCCAGAAGGCGGGTGGGTGGGAAGCTCCCTCCAAGGAAAAAGGGCTGAAGGAGGGCAGGCGCTCAGGCTGTAAAAGCCAGTAAGTGTAGCAAATTTTTCTGCATGGATAGCAGAATTTGGCCGAGGCTGACAATGTGCTTGCTCTTTCCAAGCTCCCACAGGCTCTGGCTGCATTAAGCTGTGCTTGGCCAGAATGGAAGCCAAGCAAAGAGGCATCTATTGTTGTACCTGGCATCTAAATGGATGCAAAGGGAAGACAATCCCACTGCACAATTGAAAGAAGGGCCAAATGAATGTAGGAGGGGTGACTAGCAGCCTTCCAAACAGATTCATTAGCATCTCACAGAAGACAGCGAAGGCTACTCTGGGAAATGAATATACAACCACAGGCTAATGTTACAGCAGACTCTGAAGCACCAGGGCAGGGGGCCGATCAGATCCAGATCCTTAAAAATAAGTGAGGCAGTGCATAATCAGAGACAGGGAACCCATGATATGAGCAGAAAGGCAGAAAGTGGGGGAGGAAGCAAAGGAAAACAGACAGGGAGCCATCAATAGACTCAGTGTCCATCCTTCCATCCATCTGCCTGTGTCCTTTCGAAAGTAAAAGAGAACAGGTCCCTGCCTCTGTGTATTAAGCCATGAGCGTGCAGGGAGGAAGCAGAAGTCTTGTGCAAAGGATGAATAAAAACTCTCTCTCTCCTCCAACACAACTTCTGGCAAAAAAGTGATGTTATTATTTATTTTGTTTACTTAAGATTCTTCTATCTTGCTCTTCCTCCAACCTGGAACTCAGGGCAGGTAAAGAACCAAGAACAAGAAGCCAAAATAAGGCATCGCTTAAGTGCAACTTGCTAACTAGGCAAGCAAAGAAGAACTTTATTGGGCAAATTGTTAAAGGTATAAAAATGAGCAAAAATGGGAATTCAAACTAGAGTATTTTTGGCATATTTGCATTTAATGTGCAAAAACGAAGGTAGCAAACTGCTGTGGGGACTGAAGATAGCAGGTGTGGAGGAGTTGAAATTGTGGTCCTGTTGAAATTGTTCCTCAGAGGCTGTGATTTGCATTGGGAGGACATTCCCCACTGGTGCAAATGGTAGCTTCTGGAGAGTGATTATCAACAGGACTTTGACACAGACACCTCAAATATTTGGTTTCATCTAATGCAGTTTTCAAAGCTTTTGAGATTACTTTTTATCACTTTCTAGGGTGGGTAAAGTTGAGCAAGAAATACAAACTATTTTCATATTTAGGCACAAGTTATAACATTTTTGGAAGGCAACAGAAAGGGACATACCTAAAGGTGAGGATTGCTCTGTGTGTGTGTTTAATTTCTGTGTTTTACAGAAATTATCCCAGCTGCTTCAGGCCAAAAACATCATTCTGCATGTGGTGGCCAAACACATCATTATGGGAGGACATAGCAGCCCATCTGGGCACTGAGTGCAGCTCCTGTTGCCCACTCAAAGCCTTAAGCTTAAAAGGAGACTAAAAGGCTCTTACAACTGAGGCAGCCATGCACCAATCTTGACCCTGGAGTCATCCTCTTCAAGGAATGAAGCTAGGGAGCTGGAGTTTGAGAGGGAACTGCCCTCAGGCCAGTCCCAGATGTATGTAACTAACAGGAACCACTTGTGCAAGAGGAGCCCATTGTGCCAGCACCTCTCTGTCCAAAGGACATCACATTCCCCTCCTCTGGCTCAGAGGATTCCAGTTCAGGACCCATGGTTGGGCCACTGTCTCCTTTGCTCCGTCAGAGTCAAAGCAGGTTGAAACCCTTTAAATGAAGAGGTTCCTCTCACCGCTGAGCTAGCAACTAAGATAGAGCTGTTGCTCATATTTAAGGGCCAGCTTCTGGGTTACGGGTGCTGAAACAACATTCGAGCTTTGCTCATGTGGAGTCTCCTGCCTGAGCCTCACATGGAGCTGTCCAGGGTTCTGATGAGGTTTGCCTCACAGCTGAAACCATCACTTAAAACAGAACTGCAGCCACATTTTCCCTTGGTGTTTCAGCCCTAGTGGTCTTCTTCCTTTGCAGGGTTGGGGAATACTGAAGCTCAAAACACATCTAATGTTTCCTACACATTTCCCTTTATGCTTCATTTGGGTTCAAGAGAATGGAGCAATTCAGTAGCAACAAGTTGGATGCCAAGAATGACAAATGCAAGATGCAGAGAGAGAGAGAAATGGTAGGAGGGGAATGACATGAGACTGGTGACAGGCCAGCACAGGGAAGGGCCGTAGCTCAGTGGCAGAGCATCTGCTCTGCATGTCGAAGGTCCCAGGTTTAATCCCTGGCATCTCCAGCTACACCTGGGAAAGACTCCATGTCTGAAATCCCAGAGAGTCACTGCTACTAGTCAGTGAGCTAGATGGATCAATGGTCCATCTTGGTATAAGGCAGCTTCCTATGTTCCTGTGGGACAAGTTTGTCTTTCACCATGAGTAAGGCTGAGTGGATAAGTCTGGCATTGTGCGCAGAGATGCAAAGGGATTGACATTTGCCGTATTAATTAAATGTTTAGAATTTAAAAGCAAAGCAGAGCCAAGCCTGGCGTTCTGTTTGAATAGTTACTTTATTAGTTTTGAGTTAAGCATGTGCAGGACTGAGTTCTGTATTTTAAGATAAGCTATGCAAGAGGTTGGGTGTCAGAATTAAAAATTTAAAATTTGCCAGCGTATGTTTTATTAAAGACTGACCCACTACTGACTTCATCTTTAGGGTCCTCTAACTTGCAGAGGATTCGGACCAAAACACCAAAGAAACTCCATGGGGGCACAGAAGCTGCTGCAAGTGAAACACAAGCATCTGTACTATAGAGTACAACATCTTTACCGCTTACATGTCACACAAGTTAAGGTGAGAGCCTTACTTATTGGCGCACAAGTGAATTTGTAAGCTCCTTAACTCTTTTTTAAAAAACTGAAATGTATATATTTTAGTCCTAGAATGTCTTCATTGTTTTTAATGAAAGCAAATTTGCTAAATTATACGAGCCATTTCAATGGGAAAAATACTATACTATACTATACTATACTATACTATACTATACTATACTATACTATACTATAACACACCGGCAGCAAAACCATCTATCTTACTCTCACATAGGCACACACAGCAGCACTTCTTTCTCTTTAACATACCACAGGCACACAGAGCACCCTTCCTCACAAACACATCCATGTTCTCCCTCTTGCTCTCTGTCACAAGTATGTGCTCCTAGTGTGCTCATCCTCTGCTTCCACTGGTGCTCACTAGCTGAAGGATAACAATATGCAGAGATCCATCTTCTTCCAGTTCCCTGGACTAGATCACAAATTCTCTCTCTCACTCTGAGAGAGAGAGAGAGAGAGAGAGAGAGAGAGAGAGAGAGAAAGCCATAGTCTTGCTCTGCCACAACTTACTTGCTGGGTGTGTCAGCTTTTAACTACCTTGTAAACGCCGCCCTATCCTGCCAATCCACCTGCATCCAGGTTTTTTTTTCATTTCCAACTAATCTCTTGCTTTGCGTCTTTTCCTACCTGCTATTATTCCAAATCACCCACTGTACAACTGGAAAAACAAACCTGCTTGCGTGTCTTACATGCATAACTGTTAATTTACCTAATTAAATGTAATCTTGTTAAACTGTGTGTATCTTTGGAGCAGGAAATCAACTGACAACCAGGGTCAAAATTGAAAGCAACAGTGTGAGTCAAGTCCCTGAATCTCCCATGATGGGAAATTAAGTGCAGCTTTCAAACAGCCTCCTGATTAGCTATTTATCTTAAGCCATTTTAGGTAGAAACTGATACTGTAACAAGAGGTAAATTATTTTACAAGAAGTTTTCCCCCTTTCTTTCTAAAGAAGTGCAGTGCCTCATTCAAACCATTTGTTTCTCTGCTTGCTTAGGATAAGTGAAAGATGCTGACAAGCCCAGTTAAGCTACAGCCACGTTCTTTGGACTGAGCAAGTCACAGGCTGGGGTTCTTTGCTTCTGCATTGTCTTGGTCAGACAGAGAGCTTCTTACGAGCATCATCTAAATACCCTTGTTGTTGTGATATACATTGAAAACTCAGCATGAAACATTCCATGCCAATAAAAATCAACAGAGAGAAAAAGAGAAGAAGTCCTTGGCCTGAGAGCTTAAATAAATTACCATCTTTGTAATTCTGTAATAAATCCCTCAGTTGGGCTATAATGATTTAGTGTTTGATGATTTGGCACAAAGATAAATGTCTGGTGTTGCTTAATGGATAAAGTGTTGCCTTTTCACCTTCCTGACCCTGTTTCAGCCTCTGCTCCAAGGACTCCCCTCAGTTCTTGATGGACGACAGCAGCAGCAGCAGCAGCAGCAGAGGAGCTGGAGAAATGGCCTCTGAGAGGCAACCGCTCCAGAGTCAGGAAAGGGGCAGAGGGTGGGTGAGTGTGTGGACATTAATGGAATGGAGGCCCATCTTTCACACCTTGTAGAAGGAAGCCCAGACTTCTTGCCAGCATTGTGCCTGTCAGGGCTTTGAGCTTCAAAGGCAGAAAGTTAAGCACTCCACAGGCAGCCGCTGCAAAGCAGCTTCTTCCCTCCCAAAAGGACACCCACAGAGTTAGGGAAAGATATCAAGTTCCTCCTAGGTGCCAGCTTCAGGTTTTTAATGAAGACGGGCACCAGCGCCAGAATGGGGCTGAAATAAATCTTTCCACTTCCCTGACATTCTGCTCTGATTTCTAGGCACCAGGTTATCTGTTGCCTGGATTTCCCCCAAACTGGGAGGCACCTGTTCTGAAAAGGCGGCCCAATTCTTTCCGGGGGGGGGGGTCCCCATGTCACTTTGGATACAAACTGCCTATTTTTTAACATCAGAAGGAGATTGCACATGGAAGGAAAACCCAGACGGGTTCCGGGAGTAAAAGTTTCTCTTGCTTTATTCAATTAGGCAGGAATATTTTTCAGGGGACACACATTCTCTTTTGCGCAATCTGCTGAGGGCACATTTTGGCTGCTGTGAGCTGTGCTGCTTTACTGTTTTTGATCTACGTCGCTCTAATCTCCTTAAAGAGGAAAAAATGGGGTATAAATTATTTTAAAACAAATACAAAAATAAAACAATGCAACCAGATGTTGACTCTGTGGGAGAGGGTTGTCAGTGATTAATGAATCACTAGGGATGCTGCTAATCATTGCATGCTCATTTCTCATTGGAAACTCTTCCTATAAGGTGTGAAGATTCTCTAATCCTTGAATTCTTTGGACAAAGAGACACATTCTCCTTTGATGAGAGGAAATGAATGTGTGTTTCCCATGATACAGTTTAAGAGAATGCTCAATTTGCAATCAGATAAAATCTCTTAGTTAAAGCTGGTCATCTGGATTACAGAAATGCCTTTTGGGGATTGCTTTCTAGGTAGGTGCAAAGAGCAACACATCTTTAAGTCAAAGCCCTTTGTGCAGGCTGCTCTATGGTGCACCTCCAGATAAGGAGACAGCATCTCCGCCAGGCCTCCCTAGACTGCCCCACAGGGGGCTCCTCTGGCCCATTTGCTCCAGTGGCCTTCCCTTTCCAGCTGTTAGTTAGCATTAACGGGAGAGGACAGCAAACCCCCAAAGGCTGTGTCAAAAACGGGGAAGAGAGTCATTCAATAGAGCACAGAAAAGACCTAAATTGGAGGTCAGGAAAGCCGGTCAAAAGCCGGGTAGGAAGGAGGGTAGGTTTGCTTTGTCCTGCCGCCATTGGGAGCAATGCAGCCAGAGATCTCTCCAGCCCTGGGGGAATGGGGGCTATTGTCTTCAGCTGCCCATAGATGTAAGCTCCATATGCCCAGAGCCCTCCCCCTTTCCTGACCCCAGCAAGGTCAGAGGCACAGACATTGGTCTTGAACTCTCCGTCTGTTTCCCCACTTTCTTTCTGCCATATTAATTACGGCTCCTCTCTATCAAATGCATCCTCCCCCCTGGCATTCACGTACATTAAGAAGGGCAAGCTGCTTCTTCTGGCTGCCTGATCCCTCTTCCCCCACAGAAAGGCAGGCTGAGTGGAGGACAGCCTAGAGATGCTTTTCTCCATGGGCTAAAAACAACACTTGCTCTGATCTCCAAAGTGCTGCAGGGATCAGCAGGCAAGGGAGGTGGAGAAGGCAGGGTGATGCCACACTGAGGGGCGTTGATGCACAGATTCTTGTGCAAATCCCAGCCGAGATTCTCACTGGCTGGAAGATCTCTTGTTGCCAGTGTTTCCTGGAGCTGCTCCTTCTCCAAACACTGCAGAATATTTCACGTTGGATCATTGCAAGTTTTGATGAGGGCTGAGGAAGCCCCCCCCCTTGATGTGAGCCATTGACACGCACACCCCATTTCCTACCTGCAACACCCAGCCCCAGTGGCACTAAAGGATTACAGAATCAGAGCTAAAGAAACAGGTTAGTCCCCCTTCTCCAGAAAGCTTGCCAACCACAGGAACCAGGCAACCATGATGCTTCCTTCTGCTTCTTACGTGTATTCCAAACTGTGGAAAAGAACGGGCAGCTGCTTTCCAATGCCAGCCCTTCTGCCTTCCAAGGGCTGAAGGAGCACAATGCACTGGCCCAACTGGGTGAGGCCTCCAGTGACTTCTTCAATGCACCAGAAGGTTCTCATTGACCTGCATGGGGATGGCACATGAACATGGAAAGAGTGCCTAAAGAAGCAAGAGTGCACGGTGGGTAAGTCATAGCCAAAGAACTGGGTCCCAACAGTGTTTCTGTGTGTGTGTGTGTGTGTGTGTGTGTGTGTGTGTGTGTGTAAATGCTGCTGAGTTCCTGGAACAAACTCTTTCTTTGGAGAAGCACCTTCCCTCCTTATTCCCCAAGCTTTATAAAAATAGAAAGAACACATGTTCCCATTAGTCATTTGCTTGAGGGGAGCTTTGGGGTATGTGCTGACAGTCTGTACATGGAGGCCTAATTTGAATACTATTTGCATATTGCAGGTAGACAAAGTGCCACTGTCTTAACAACACTCACAGGCAGGCAGGCAGGAGGAGGTGGAGCTGAACAAAGCAGTGTGAGGAAGACCCCCCCATGACCCCCCTGGCAAGCAACCAAGTCAAATCCCAAGCAGCAGCTCCCTCCACCCACTCACCAGCACCCCCCCGGCAAGCAATGCCCAACGCGGCCGCTGTATTCAGAGAGGCTTTTAATTAAATGCTCGCTTGCCAAGAGTGGTTTGTAGATGCCTAACAGAGGACACGGCTTCCCTCCAGGGAACGTTGCAGGCAGACACGGTCCCCCTCCCTTGATAACACCATTTGCAAGTCCTGAATGAGGAAGAGGAGGGGGCGAAATTTTCTGG